CGGGGCGCCCCTCCTCCTGCCTTCTCCTTCTCAGCAGCAGCCAAACTTCCCATCCCCTGCCCCCAGAATAGCCACAACATCCTTCTCCTCCTTCCCAATGCAAGGCGCGCCGGGGAAAGGGGGAGGAGGAAGGATTGGCGAGGAGGGGGGGAAGCTGGCGCTGATTGGTGCGGGGAGGCCGATGAGCGCATCTCAGGGCAGGGAGGAGGAGCGGAGCTAGGGGAGAGCTCGGGCGCCCACCCCCAGTTGCTGCCGCTTTGATGCAAAGGAATGAAGAGGGGTCGCCTGATAGGCGAGCTTGTGGTTGAGCCGCGGTGTGTGTGCTGGCGGCTGTGGTGGCTGCAGACCTGCCGCCCTCTTTCCTCCCCATGCGGGCGCTTCCCCCTAGAGGCTCTGAGTCCTGGTTGCGGGATGGAGACGCATGCTTTCTGGCTAGGGCAACTTTTCCTTTTTGCGCTGTGGGGTAAGTAGTTGGCTTGCAAGATGATGCCCAGGACATGTCGGGCAAAAGGCTCCATGAAAAGTTGGTAGCGCTCCGATTTTGCTAGCATTTTGGAGTCTCTGCTGACCTCGGAAGGGGTTTTGTCTTTAAAGAACGCAAAGCATGTATTATATCAGCCCAGGGAGAAAAGAGGTTAACGTATTGGTTTGCCAGAGAGAAAGGAATAGATGTTGCCAGGCATCTTTCGCTGAGTGTAAATGTCCCTCTTTCCAGAAATCCTGATTCTGCTGGAGAAGCACAGCCCTTCCAGAAAGGTGATTTCATAAGGGTTTCTTACATGCCAGGGGAACCCCCCCCACACACACACAACCGTAATAACCTTCCCCTTCCTAACTCCCACCTCCCCTAAGCTATTCAGTAACACTCTGAGTAAGGCAGCCTGAAAAGAAGCCCTTCCTTAAGGCATTATTGAGTTTGTGGCTGTCCTCAAGGAAGATGTGCAGGGCTGTGTTTGGTAAGCTTGGTGGTTTTACTGCTGTCATAGGCATTTTTGTGCGATTAAGTCTGATTTGTCTTTTTTCACCTCAGTTGTTGGAGCTGTATATTAAAAGTAAAGACTAGAGAAAGGCAACTAATAAAATAAGAGATTTTTGGGGGAAAGGATTTTTTTGTAAGACCAGGAGTCTTTTCCTGTGATATCAAGCAGTGAGGAAAGATCTCTGGTAGTATCCTGGTGAGAAGGGAGAAACTGTTTCTCTAGTCCTCTCCTTATTTTCTCCATACATGCTGTATCAATTACAGTCTGAGATGTATACATTTCACCCAAGGTGTGGGTGATACTGTGATAGGTACAGAACCACCTCCTCAAGCATGCAGCCAATGGCTGTAGTAAAATCCAGTGAAGAAAAGTGAATAAATATAAAAACAAGATGCCAAATCCTGAAAAGTATTGAGAACTGAACTGAAGTACAAACTGAACTGAAGTACAAAGGAATTGTATGTTTCCCAAAGCTCATAAGCCAGTTTTGCCAGGAGATCTGCCCCTCTTCCTTGTGCAATGATTTTAGCTAAGGTAGCATATATTTTTTTCTGTAAAATCTTTCAAAATAATCACCTTTGAAGTGAATGCTGGCTTCTTCTAGATTTGGAGCAAACTTATGATCTATTCCTGAAGTCCTTACTCAGGCACAGTGGTCATTTTCCTTGAATGAGAGCTGCAAGTTAGTAACTCAGGCTTCCTTTTTGACCACCAGGACAACAGCTCATAAGCCAGTTTTGCCAGGAGATGAGTCCAGCAATAAATATTATATGTACTAACTTTCCAGGCAGAATGTATTGACTGCCTTCTGAATTATAGCCATCCTTTTCACACCAGCTTCAGTGTGGGGCCCCCAGCCGTCTTTGGAAAGCAGGGAAGTTTTATAGTCAGGAGACTGGCTGATTCTATTTAGGATTTGCTCCAACAGTTACTTAAAAGTGTGAAGATACCTTTCAGATTTTTCACATTCTTTAACTTCAATTTACACTTTGTTTTTAGTCATTGATATTTCATTTTCTCCCCTGTAGCTAACTTTAGGAATTCGGGATTTAACACCTTATAGTCATATCTAAAGTTACTGACAGTCTTTATTCTGATCTTATTTACATCTGTATAATTCTGGTGATGACAATGCAGTTACTTGATGTAAGCAAGGAGAATCAGGCCCAGAGTATTTAAAATGGTATTCCAAATACTGTACTTTATAAATACAAGGGCTACACGATAAAAACGTGTGTAGGGCTGTCCTTAGGATTCGGGGATAAAAACGTGTGTAGGGCTGTCCTTAGGATTTAGGGGGCCCTACACAATACTATTAAACTGGTGCCCCTATGCCCGACAACAGCCTGGGGAGGGGATGACATTTTGTGGAAATGTGATTTTTATAATCTTCAGTAACACACTAATGAAATATTTTTAAAGCAAATTTTAAACTTGGGTCCTACAGATTAACAGAGTAAGTTCAGAAACTGACAGTATATACCTGAGGGTTCCAAATGCCTGTTAAATAGCTTCATTGCCACTTAAATGACTCTTTTGCAGGATCAGTGTTCTATTAATAGGTCAGGAAGGCTTTTTCATTTTTACATTAACTAGCTTTTCTCTCGTGTTAGACTTACCAGGCTGCAGCAGTCACAGAACAGGGCTAGGAAGATGAGGTAGGTGGACATTAAGACCTACTGGTGCCCCAAATTTTCAGGTGCCCTACTAGCTATGTATGGGTAAGGACAGCCCTGAACATGTGTGAACAGAAGTTAGGGATCTTTACATGAAAAGGCCAATAAATAAGTGGAACATCCAATTCAGACTATTTGCAGGAACAATGGCTCGCTAATAGTACATTATTTTTGTTTTTAAAAAAGTAAAATGTTCACTTTGGTGAAATGTTCTTTTAAAATGGTTTGAAATCTATTTAGGAAGTCAAATGTTGTATACATTTCCATTTCAAATATATTTCAGAATCCAAACTTTTGTGATACCTAATGGGTAATATCTTCACTGCTGAAAACAGGGAAATAATCGGTTATTTCTGAGTAGGTGAATCATCCAGTCCTAGGATTTGCCATGACTCTCACAAGTGAAACATATTTACTAAGGATTTTTCTCAGAGAATGAAGACTGAAGACTACTTTTTGTGTATCTTCAACAATTACACAGAGTTCTCACCAGAGGTACTAACAGACTAGAGGTTTTAAACTAGACAAGTTGCTCACATATCTGAATTTCACTGAAGAACTGATTTCCTGGGGGTCTACAGTTGACAATGGTTTGCTTTCAATCAGAAGCAAAGGGATGGATTTTGCATGAACAAGAAAGATCTAATTGGAATGAACTAATTCCCTGATTTAAAACAAACTTTATAATTACTAAAATACTCACAATGAGGAATCTATTATAAATAGTAGTCAGTAACTGTAGCAAGTGTAAGCCCATTGCAGTTTTCACTGATTCTTCTGACAAGTAATACATATATGCATCTTAGAATCAGTGAGGATATTGCCTTTAATTGACCACTCTGCATATTTTATATGATTAATTGTTCTGTTTTCCTTTGCCAAACCTCTCCTCTTTCTCCATCCTGTAAAGATGGCTGCTTATCAGTAGTGCTATGTCTGTATGTAAACATGAAAGGGGCTATATATATGTGTGTAAAAGGTTATTATTTATATTGAAACTTAATTTTTGTAAATTGTACTAGTATCTGCGTCAGCAAAACATGGTAAGGTAGAAATGTGATAATTATCATGATCTTTAGTACTTTTCATGCCCAGATCTCAAAACATTCTATAAAATTGGAAAGTATCATTATCACTGTATTTTACAGCTTGGGAACTGTAGTACAGAGAAGCTAAGTATTTTGCTAGAGCTGCACAGCAAATCAGTGGCAGATCTGGAAATAGAATATTGCTTTAGGGTCCAACTCTTGTATTTTATGCTTTGGATTACAACTCCACACTTAATTTTTACTGTAGCTATATAAGAAGGACTCATTCCTGCAAGGTACTTTGTGAATTTTGTAAATACAGAGTGCCCCCATGTTCAACTCCCTGTAATATTGGATTCTAGTGAGAAAGATAAAGGGATGAAAAATTGATTTTAAAAAAATGGATTACCTTTGAAAAAAAGTTACCTATTATCTTACAGATTAATCTGGTCCATTGTATGTGGCTAGAAGGGTTGAGATAAAGGGAGGGAAAATCAGCCTGGGAACTACACTGAATACAATAGACCAATGTGTCAGTCAGACATAAGTACAAGTCTGTGTGTACTTTTAAAAAGAGAACATCTCATTCTGAAACAGACCAGACCAACTGCTACTGCCAAATCACTGCTCTACTTTGTCAGGGATCCTGCATGTTTCCAAACAGCAATTAACAGGGACAAAATAAGCAGCAGAAATGAGTGCTATCACTTTTGAAGCAAAGCAGACAAATGCTGATGCAGCTCCTGCTTCCAAGTTTGTTAGATCATGGCACAGCTCCTACAATACTTCACCCTTGCCATCTTCCTTCCTCTCCCTCCCACCATGTAACCTGAATATTCCTACAGCCTGCCCGGATCCCAGTGTACAGGCTCATTCTTGATACAATGAATGTGATTAGAAAAAAATGTAGTGTTCATAAGAGAAAGCTCTTCAGAAATGTACATGCATGTGCTGTGGGTGGCAGCAGAGAGCATCAAATACTCAAGCAAAACCATGCTGGTCCCAGAAATGAAGAAGAAGGACACCACCTACAAAACTGAGTAGAGGTACATTGCAGATTAAAGAGACACCACCTACAAGACTGAGTAGAGGTACATTGCAGATTAAAGATAGGAGATAGACACACACAAATTGGCAGCCTGATTCTGATTGCAGTTACTCTGATGAAGTTCCACTGAATTCCTGATTTACACCAGTTTAAGTGAGAGCAGCACTTGGCTCTAACTCTTCTCTTTACATAGATATGAAACTGTCTCAGTGGCTACGTCTAGACTGGCATGATTTTCCGCAAATGCTTTTAACGGAAAAGTTTTTCGTTAAAAGCATTTGTGGAAAAGAGCGTCTAGATTGTCACGGACGCTTTTCCACAAAAGCACTTTTTGCAGAAAAGCGTCCGTGCCAATCTAGACACGCTTTTGCGCAAAAAAGCCTCGATCGCCATTTTCGCGATTGGGGCTTTTTTGTGCAAAACAAATCTGAGCTGTCTACACTGGCCCTTTTGCGCAAAAGCTTTGCCCGAACAGGAACAAAAGGGACTTTTGCCCGAACGGGAGCAGCATAGTATTTCTGCAAGAAGCACTGATTTCAGACAGTAGGAAGTCAGTGTTCTTGTGGAAATTCAAGCGGCCAGTGTAGATAGCTTTCAAGTTTTAGCGGAAAAACTTGTCAGTCTAGACACAGCCAGCCAGTGTGTGTGATTTAAACCCCCCCACTGCGCACACACACACACACACACACACACACACACAATCCCCCACTGTGTGCGCGCACACACACACACACACACACACACACACACACATGCTTGCACACACACACACACGCTCGTACACGTACACACACACACACACACACACACACACTCAATTTTACAATAATATTGCTGAGGATGAATTCCTGGTGTATGACTGGATGCCCTCAATAAAAAGGGTGCTAGCTGTGGTGGTTCTGCCTTTTAAGCCATATTCCTACATTACAGTGCCAAACTGTTATTTGTTTAAGAGGCTGTTTCTTTCTGCCACTTCAATGCTGATCACAGAGGTTATTCACTGATGGCCCTAGTTTTAAGGAAATCAAACTCCAATACTGCCACTATAATAAGAAAAAAATAAAGTGGTGCAATAGGGCCACTTGCTAAATACCCTTTGGGGCCAATCTGTGGCTCTGTTTACATCTCACCTCTCTTGTAGCAAACTGATTTTCCCTATAGTGCTTGTCCACATACATATTGCTATCATAATAATGCCACCACCCTTAAATTACACCGTTGGTG